ACCGACAACGACAACCAACCTTTTCCGTGATTTAACCGATTTTTGTTAAACATTTCCCCCATTCGAGGCCCTTCAAAGCTCTCTCTCTCTCTCTTTTCCCTTTCGAAATTAATAATACGATTTCAAGTGTTTGCCATTTTTAATTACGATGAATTTAATCGACTGACTTCAATGAAAAATCATCGCCATTTTTTTTTTTTTCCTTTCCTTCCAGCATTTTTTCTTCCTTTTCCTCTTCCTCTTCTTCTTCTTCCTTTCCTCTTCTCATCGATTCTCGTGTAGCAGATGATATTAATAAATAATCAAAAAAAAAAAAAAAACAAATTATACCTGAAATCGAATCCTCGTCCGAGGAATTAAATTTTTTTATATTAAAAAAAACTTTCAATGACCTCTTTCTTATAAAATGTCGAAATTAAATAGAAAAAAAAAAAAAAAAAACTACAAGAAAGTGAAATCTCATTTGTTCTTTTTTTCGATGGATTATTCTAGAAAAAAAAATTTTTAAAAACCGTTTCGACATTGTAAATCATTAACGACTTCCATTTTACCTGTCGTCGCTTGAGGAAAACATTTCCCCCCCCCTTCTATTCTCCCTAATCAATCAATCAATCGATCGATTCATTTTTATAAAAATTTACAAAGAATTACTTTATGACTACGATCGATAATTCAATTGACTTTTTTTGTTTTGTTACCTAAACGATGACGTAGTAAATTCATGTGATCACGCGCACGCATCCACACTCCCGGTAAGGAAATCGTAAACAAAAAAAAAAAAAAAAAACAGAAAATTGCAAGTTCAACGACCAAAATAACCGTAAAAAAAAAACTTCAAACGAGTTGCAAAATAATAATAATAATAATAATAATAATAATAATGATGATAATAATAATAATAATAATAATAATAATAATAATAATAATAATAATAATAATAATAATAATAAATACTCGTCTGATAGCTTATATCAAAATTATTATTCGAACGGGTGATAAAATAAGATAAATAAGAAAAGAGAGAAAAATAAGAAAAACCTTAAACCTTAACCCGTTTAAACTCCATTAACCTTCCATACAAAAATAATGATAATAATGATATTACGAAACATTTTAACAAATAACTTTCGTTTGATTCGAAATTTTTTTTTTTCCATACAATTATTATCATCATTATTACACATGTTATCCAGCGACTCCTCCTCGTTTCTATTTTTATTTACGAATCTTTCATTTTGATCGAATCCTTTTCCGTTTCCGTTTTTAATTCATCCTTTTTATAATAGTCAAGTGAAAGATGCTGATCCTTTCTTCTCGCGTTTCCAATTTTTTTTTTTTTTTTTTTTTTTGGTTTTTAGGTAATTTCACACGTTTGAAATCTTTTTCCCACGCTTTTCCTTCCTTCCTCAGTTGGATGGTACATTTGTCTTTTTTCTCAACCCTTCCATCTTTATGCTAAATTCTTCGTCCTCATTTCCATCCGTGTCCTCCTTTATTGTTGTTGACACACCCCCTCTTCGCGTGGGTATTTCGTTTTCACGGAAGTTAGCATTTACAACTACCACCACCACCACCACTACTATTATTGTTACTTAATTGTTCCGTTAGTTAAAAATCTCATCGACTAATAACAATAATAATAATAATATAGTAAATTTTTTTAAATGTATTTTTTCACGTTTTTTCCGCTTTCGATTTACACACAAGTGAAAAAAATAAAAAAAAATTTTTTTTTATCAATTATGTGATTTTGCGACCGTTAATAAACAATTAACCGTCTGTAAAATTTTATTATTATTAACAATGAAAACGCCGTGAAAATAATAATGATGATGATGATGATGATGATGATGATGATGATGATGATGATGATGATGATAATCACAATAAAAAAAAAAGAAAAAAAATCTCGCCAAAGCTTTCACTCACTCATTCACGAATATTAATTTGACCGTTACGAAAATTCTTTTTTTTTTTTGACGGCGAGCAATAAAATTTAAATAATAATAATAATGATAATAATAATAATAATAATGATTCGCGTAAATATTATTCCGATTTTTGAAAACGTTAGGAATAAAGGGTCAACCTCCAAAAAAAAAAAAAAACCGGCTGGAGAACCGAAATCGAAAAGCCATCATCGTTGTGTGATTTCCTCGCTAATCGTTAAGGATTACAAAATAATAATGATAATATTATAAAATAATAATGATAACATTTACATATATATAACAACAACCCTACCTAAACGGAATCCAAGTGACGCAGGGGACATAATCAACGATCACGTTCAAAAAACTTTAAATATTTTTCATCATCATCATCATCATCATCGACATTATGTGTGTGTTTAATCATTTCCGTTCGATCATAACTAATCGATTGATTTTATCGAAACCAATATCTCGATTACTCTAAATGGGAAAAACGTCGATGATGATTACTTTATCAGAGTCCGAAATGAGAGAGAAAGAGACTCCCCTCAATGGAAATAATTTCAACTTTGTCTTCTACAAAATTAAACCAACCTCCTCCCCCTTCCTCACACCAACCGCCCCCTCCCTCCCTCTCTTTCTTTCTTTTAAGAAAAAATATAATTTAATTTTTTTTTTTTAAATGAAAACAAAAACAAATTCGTTTGTTATTATGTAATTTCGAATAAATAGTAAACGAGTTTTTATTACACTCCATTGGTTTGCTCGCTCGCTCGCTCAATCACATACGAACCTAAATTTCACCTTGATAAATTAAATTACTTTCTTTTCCCTAACGATAATAATAATAATAATCATCACCATCGCCGTGATTACAATAAATAAATGCTATTATTATTATTATTATTATTATCATCATCATTTCTCTTTCCTTTTTCCCATTATTACAACAACAACCACACAGTTCAATAACATTTTTTCATCATTGATCGATGATAAAATTTTTGATAACAAAAAAAAAATTTTTTCGATAAGACAATATTCGCGGCATCCTCCCCTTCCCCCCTCCCCGAACGACGGAATGTTTGTGGAAAATTTTAAAGAAAAGAAAACTCGGAAAAGTACAAAAACAAACAAACAATCCAATTTTCAAAGTATTTATTCCCCTCCCCAACAAACAATCTAAACCTTACACAACAATTAATTATCTGTTATCAGTCAGTAGTCGTGCTACTACTACCACTACCTTTTCTCATTTACAACAATCTAAAAATGTATTTTTCGGTGTGACGTAATATCCTCCCTCCCCCCCCCCGTGGAATGATAAGAGAGAACACAATTTTCCAGTTCGTTTAATTTTGTTTTTTCTTATCAACGTTATTTTCGTAGAAAAAACCACTGGAATCACTCGCGACATTTTTTTTTTTTTACTCCAGCAACAATTCTTTAAATATTTTATCATCATCATCATCATCATTTATCTCTCGAAAATAATAATAATAATAAATTCTTATCGTCGAATAAATGAAAGTATTAGATAAAAAAAATTTTTTTTTATTTTTTTTGATTGGGGGAAAATGAAAGAGATGAACGTGGAGATAGACGTGGGAAATTTTTTTTTATGATACATGATAATTTAAATACAACCAAGTTAAACAAAAGATATTTATACGTGAAAGAAGAAGAAGAAGAAGACGAAGAAGAAGAAGATGAAGAAGAAGAAGAAGAATGGTTAAATGAAAAATGTTTTTAAATGCTATTTCATGCCTGGGGCAAATTTTTAAATGTGTTGACCCCTTCCTTCTATTGAATTTAAAAAAAAAAAAAAACATTTCATGCAAATACACTTTTCTTTTTTGTTTTCGAATTAAAATCATCAGAGTTATTGTATGTTATATCATTCGATTAAACTCAAACACATAATATCAATCCTGAATATCGATACCCTCAAACACACACACACACACAACTCACATTTTTAACATTTCGATACAAATTAAAGAAAAAAATTGACATTATCATCATCAACTGTGAATAAATATTCAAAAAATATGTATAGATTTCTTAAAATGGTTTTTTTTTTTTTTTTTTTATCAATTAATGAGATTATAATGTTTTCAAAATGGGGGGGGGGTGTAATGCAAGTTTCGATAACTCTTAAAACGAATAATCAAATCAACATGGTGTCCATGTAAGTATTTTTACAAAACAGACAACAATTTAATGTTTGCAGACGAATAAACTAAAACAATTTTCATGCGAGATAAATTATTTAAAAAAAAAAAAAGAAAAAGATGACAGTTATGATTTGACAGGGTAAAATTAAAAAAAGAAGGTAACATAATCGACATTGTTTCGATCAATTGTCACAAAATACAATAAAATGAACATTAATTAAACATTTAAAATATTAATAATGATAATATTAATAATAAAGCATGAGCATAGATTAAAAAAAATTTTTTTTTTTGTAATTTTTGACAGTTATTTAATGTTTTTTTGAAAAAATCTGTCAAGTAATTAATAATTATTAAAATAATTTGTAAAATAATTGTGTAAATTTTGTTTTAAAAAAAACTATCTAACGGTTTAATCCTTTAATTTGTTAATCATTAAATTTTTACTTGTTAATTAATACATGAAAATTATGAAATATAAATTTTTTTTTTTGAAAAAGTGATTTTGGTAATTTTTAATAATTTTGATTTGTTTAAAAAAAAATTAATAATTTACCTCATGATCTTTGGGATGTTGATGATTACAATGCCTTTGTTCAAATATACAATTCACAAATTCACAAATATAAACAATAAATAATATAAAAGCACATTTCCACTTAACTTTAACGTACATTTTATAAAAATTTCCGTTCTACTTCCGACATATTTGAGCATAAACTGATTGCCGCAAACTGAAATGTCGTTTTTACTATATGACGTGGTTTTAGATTTTGTCGCGAAACTACGATTGTCGACAAAATTACCGTCGCGAATGTGTTAGAAAAAAATAAATATGTTTGCAATCGTTGTGTAAATTTTCACTTTTTTTTATTATTTATATTTAATCATGAATCAAAATAAGCAAAAAATCGTTTTTGGTAAAATTTCAACGAAATCGATAAATGCTAAAAAAATTGACGAGGAAAATGGCGTTGAAATCACATCGGGATTTGGTACATTCGGTGATAACAAATCAAAAATCGACGATAATGTCGATGAAGTTAACGAACAAATCAACAAGGTTATGGGATTTACCGATTTCGGACAAAAAAAAGCTAAAAAATTTGATGTTCAAGAAATGCTTAAATTGGCTTTAGATAATAAAGATAATATAATACCTCCCAAACCTGAAAATCAAGAGGAAGAGTCTGATGATGATGATGATGAAGGTGAAATAGGTCCTAGTATACCTGAAGAATATTTGAAACAAAATTCAGATTCAGTCACTGACAATGTCAAAAAAAAATTAGACTCAAACAATGCCGACAGGTAAGAATAATTTACTAACTTGTCCTAGTTCCTAATGAAAATAATCATAAATTTGTGTTGTTATTTATTTTAGCGAGGAAAAAAATGAGAGTGATTCAGATTCTGAAGATGAATCCGAAATATCTCTTAAGAAAAAAATCCCAGCAAGCCATGAGACTATTATGGAACATGGAAATAAAGCTGTTGTTGCATTGGCTGCAGAACCATCCGGTTCTAGGCTTGTGTCTGGATCGGTTGATTACCAAGTATGTTTTTGGGATTTTGCCGGAATGGACTCATCCATGAGAAGTTTTCGATCGTTGACACCTTGTGAAAATCATCCGATCAAAGCCATTAAATATTCATGTACTGGAGAAATGATATTGGTTGTGTCTGGTATGTCACAGGCCAAAGTTCTCGACAGGGATGGTTTTGAGGTAGCTGAATGTGTCAAAGGTGATCAATATTTAAGCGATATGGCTCGAACAAAGGGACATGTTGCTCCATTGACTTGTGGATCTTGGCACCCTAAAACTAAGGGTGAATTTTTAACATCAGCAGAAGATGGCACATGCAGGTTGTGGGATGTAAAAAAACCCACACAGCATCTCAGTTTAATGAAAGTAAAAGCTGCAAATGGTCTCAAAGCAATTCCGACTTCTTGCTGTTACAGTCAAGATGGTAATTTTATCGCCTGCGGTTGCGCTGATGGTTCCATACAAATGTGGGACCATAGAAAACTCTTTGTCAATACCTCGCATTTATTGAGAAATGCTCATCAATCTGGAAATGCTATTTCTTGCATCAATTTTTCATATTCTGGCAATTTAATTTCCACTAGATCTAATGACGAAACATTAAAACTGTGGGATTTCAGATCGTTTAAGAAACCGTTGAGAGAAGTTTCCAACTTGTACTCTAGATACGATAGCACCAATTGTGTTTTCAGCCCAGACGACTCGTTAGTATTAACTGGAGAATCTGTTAGAAAAAATTGTTCCGTTGGTAAATTACATTTTTTCGAAACGAATACATTTGATAAAGTGATTGAAATAGATGTTGCCAATTCTCACGTTGTAAATACTCTATGGCATCCAAAACTCAATCAAATATTTGTCGGGTGCGGTAACGGTACGATTAAAGTGTATTTCAGCAACGATAAAAGTGTCAGGGGTGCCAAATTGTGCGCATTTAAAACGAAAAGAAAAGTTAAACAAATCGAAGTTGTACCCACTCAGCAAATTATTTCCCCACACGTTTTACCATTGTACAGAACGGAAAAGCATAGGACGACGAAGAAAAAATTAGAAAAAGACAGATTGGATCCCGTCAAATCGAGACGACCCGATTTACCCATTTCTCAAGGTTCTGGAGGTCGAGTGGCATCTTCGGGCGGCACGCTGAGCTCGTACGTCATAAGAAACTTGGGTTTGAGTAAAAGAATCAACGACGAACAAGATCCTCGTGAAGCCATATTGAAATACGCCAAGGAGGCCGCGGAAAATCCGTATTGGGTCACGCCTGCATACAAACACACTCAACCGAAAACAATTTTCCAAGAAAAAATCGGAAATGAAACCGACGACGGCGGTCCCCCTACGAAACAAATGAAACTGTAAAAACCGTTATTTTTCTATTTTTTGCATTCAGTACTAATAACAATAGACTTGATATTATACACAATTTTTGTTCGACAACACTTTTGAAAGTGTGCGACAATAACCGTTAGCTCACGTGTAAATAAGTAGTAAAAATTATTTATTACTCTATGATTAAAAGAAATTTTTATAAGTAAATGTAGAAAAAAAAACTTAAAAAAAATCGATGACCGATTGAATTTCATTTTTAAAAAAAACAAAAAAAAGGTCAAAGTTCAAAGTTCAGTCGGCGGTGTTTATTTTAAGTTTTTTTTTCTTTTTTTCTTTCTTTCTTTTCTTATTTTTCCATATACATACCATATTTTTATTGGTTACGGCAACCAAATATTCGCTGTTCCGACTTAGAATGACTTTGTTTATAACAATGTCGTAAACGTTCAAATTGAGTTTTCTCTTTCTACTCGCATATGCATCCTCCAAATTGGGCCATTCGAATATCGTTACGGGTTGTATCATTTCGTTTGATTCGTTCATTCCGTCAGACGTGACATTTTTATTTTCCGGCGTATTAGAATTTTTAATAATATTTTTAATATCGTATGTCCAAATTGCGCCTTTATCATCTCCGCACACTAAATACTTCAAACCTATCATCATCATCATCATCATCATAAATAAATAATAAGTAAATAAATGAGAGAGAAAAAAGAAAAAAAATCATTATAAAAGAATAAATACCTGAATCGTAACCCAAATACATGAAATAATTATCCGTGTTACTCCATTCTAATTTATAAAGCGGATTGATTCTTAATGTAACATCTTGAACAATTGAGTCTTTTATAACTTCATCAATGTTCCAAATGTAAATTGATCCTCTCAATGCACATTTAGATGCAATCAAACCGTTTTCTAAAACTTCGACTGTGTCAACCAATGATGGAGCATTTGTGAGTGCCAAAGGTCGACCAGGAAATTGTAATAAAACTTTTGAATTACTATAATTGAAACAAAAAAAAAAAAATAAAAGTATTCAATAAATTAAGAATAATAAAAATTACAATATAAATTGTATGTATTCTCACTCCGATTTTGACGAGGACATAATTTCCGGATTTCCCTTCCAACAGTATATACCATCATCGCTTGTTCCCAATATCAATTCTTTGTTTAAATAATAAACTAATAAAAAAACTTCACAGTGAACTTCATACTGTTTGAGAATTTGTAAATTAATCGTGTAATCTGGAGCCGTCGGATATCCAATATTCATAACTAAAATTCTACCATTCGAACATGAGCCTGAAAAATTATTTTTATTTCATCAATAATAAATATGGAATTAATGCATGGTTGCCAAATTTAATTTTCGATTGAAAATGATCTACATACAATATAAAATATTCGTTACGACGGGATGAAATTTTAATGAAGTTATTCCGACTTTGACTCCTATGATACTCCTTTCAAATTTTTCTTCATGAAAGCAATAACCTTCTTCGTAAGTTATAAAATTAATCATTTGTACCGATCCACCAGCGGCTAAAATACTGTGTCCTTTTATTTTAGTCCATGAGAGTGTAAAAAAGTTTTCCCTTAAAATAAATAAAATTTTTTTTTTTCAGAGTTGAAATAATTAAATAAAATGAAAAATTAATCGACCAATACTAACCCGCTTTTCGAAGAATAATATTTTTTCATTACTTTTCCATTTTTTATGTCTATAAAACATATACTATTCCCACCACAAGTTGCTACTATATTAGACGATTCTGTATCATCATCATCATCGGGCGGCTTGAAAGCGCACTCCCATACCTATTTCATATTAAAAAATAATAATCAAAATCAATTTTTAAAACAAATAATCACTTTGAGAAAAAATTTTAAATTGAATTAAAATTTGAAAGTAAAACAACTCACGTTGGTTTGCACATCCGCGGCATCTTTTCTATGTTTCGAATGGCAACGTAAGAAATATTTCGGACTAAAATTAATTTCATAATCTGCTTCATCTGAAGAATCATCACTGGAGTTCATGATTACAAAAAAAATACAGTAAGCAAAATTGGCTTCAACTTTTCATAAACGATCATTTACACGTTTTCTGGGCATTCACATCCAAAAATTTTATTTTAAACATAATTATCCTTTAAATACGCTTTAACGTTCGTTAAAAAACATTTTTTTCTCAATACTAGTAGAAAAAATTATAATTAAATTCATTTTCTAAACCCAAACAACATTACCACAAAATGTATAACATGTTCGTGGTAGATTGCAAAATTACCACGACATCTAATCAAGCCCGCTAACGGAATTATCTAATGACACGATACGCATTCAAACTGTTACCTTAAATAGTGCAATTTATAAATGACTGGGTAAAAATTTTTGAAATCCACGATTTAATTAAGAAATTATTATTTAGACAATATATTTAAAAAATTTAAATTACATTTATAAATTTACAATTTGATAAAAAAAAATTGAATAACGCGTGATTTAAGTTAGTAAAATCAAAAAAATTGAGGATTATTTTTTATTTCTTCAGCTAATTTACTATTGACAACGGCTACTGTCAGTCTATCATCGACTAAATTAAAACTCACGTATACGGGTTTGCTTAGTTTTTTACTCAATTTATTTGCTATGTTACTCGACGTCAAATTCGTTTGATCTCCCATTATTTTCGTACCGATGGGTTCCATTGTTTTTGGAAATAACGTTGATAATGACAGATCATTAAAAACTCTCATGTGTTTTTCACCGATCCATACAAAAATGCTATCTTTAAACTTGAGTACTTCGAATTTAATTTGTCTTTCGGCGACATTTGTCGTAAAAGTATAAACTCCTATTGTCGAGGGATTAATTTTAATTTCTTCTTTATTAAAATCCATCACTGTGTTTTAGTTGTATTTTATTAGCACATGAAAAACAACACTACTTCTTATTTGAATATAAAATTACACGACACTTTACGCACCGTCGACAAATTTCTCTTGTAAAATTTTATAGCCGTTGGCCAAACTGCGTTTAATGATTATTTACATTCCCCATTTGCACTTGAGAAATGTAATTAAATATTTTTCAACACTTGATTTTTTTATAAAATCTAGTTTTCACAACACAGTCAGTATTTATTTAGCTTTAAACAATGTTAATTAAAAACTTTATAACATTAGGTAAATTGTCAACCGTTTATCACAAAAATAACTTATCGCGTAACAATCATCATCGTTTTCATCAAATGAAAAAATTTTTTTTTATTCTTTAGGTTTCACGTACGGCAAAGTTAAAACGAAATTATGGACTTGTAGAAGAAATTTATCAGTCAGCGGGATTAATTTAAAACCGAAAACCGCCATTCTCATGTTAAACATGGGTGGACCTCAAGAAATCGATCACGTACATGATTATTTATTAAAAATTATGACAGACAGAGATATGATACAACTTCCATTTCAAACGTGAAATCATTTTTTTTAAATTGTGCCAAAATATCCTCATTAATAATATATTTTAAATGGTACTCACCTGAAAATATTACATTTTCTCATAGTTTTCTCGGGCCTTTTATCGCTAAAAGGCGAACACCTGATGTTCAAAAAAAATATTCAGAAATCGGAGGAGGTTCTCCCATTTTAAAATGGACTCAACTTCAAGGGAAACTTTTATGCCAAAAATTAGATGAAATTTGTCCTTCGACTGCACCACACAAACCATATGTAGCATTTCGTTATGCGAATCCACTGACGGAAAACACACTAGAAAATATTGAAAAGTATGTTTATAAATTATTATTAAATTCCCTCATGTAAAATGTTTATTTTTTTTACAATTACCTTTTTCTTAGTGATGGAATTAAGAGAGTGGTTATATTTTCGCAATATCCACAATACAGTTGCTCTACAAGCGGTTCAAGTTTCAATGCCATTTACAGTTATTTTAAAAAAAAAAATAAAATGCCAAAAGATGTAGAATGGAGCGTGATCGATAGATGGTCTACCAATTCATTATTAATTAAAACTTTCGCTTCTAACATTAAAGAAGAATTAAAACATTTTCCTGAAAATATTAGAAATGATGTTTTGATTTTATTTTCAGCACATTCTTTACCTCTAAAGGTTACCACTAACATTTCTTTGCATTTAATTTTAATACATGAGTTTGTTCTCTTACCTTCCGCTCTAAAATTTTTAAACAGGTTGTATCACGTGGAGATTCATATCCATCAGAAGTCGGAGCGACTGTTCATCTAGTTATGAAAGAATTGAATCACAGTAATCCATACATATTGGCATGGCAATCAAAAGTTGGTCCAGTTTCATGGCTCGGTCCATTCACGGATGAAGCTATAAAAGATTATGTGAAACAAGGTCAAAAAAATTTTATATTGGTTCCTATTGCGTTTGTCAACGAGCACATTGAAACGTTACACGAATTAGATATAGAATATTGTAAAGAATTAAAAGAAGAGGTAATTTTTATAAATGTACTTATTTTTAAATATTAAATTGATAAATTAACTATAAGAGAAAAAAAAATTAATTGTTTTTATTTCAGGTCGGAGTGGAAACGATAAGAAGAGTTTCAGCTCCGAATGATCACCCTCTATTTATAAATGCATTAGTCGATATCGTATCGAATCATTTGAAAAGCAATCAAAAAATATCGCCAAAGTTTTTAACAACATGTCCTCATTGTGTTAATCCGAAATGCACTTCATCTAAACAATGGTATGCACAATTGTGTGCATAAATTACATTAGTAACATTAATTTAATGTTTATCCAGATTATAATTCAGCATTTAATTTTAATTTAATTATTGTTTTATGTTAAAACAACAGAAATTTGTGTAAAAATGAATTGCAATTTTTTTTTTTTTTTTTTAATTAAATTCATATCGTTTGATTTAAACTACTTAAATTAAATATTTTTTCAATATGCTAAATTATCATTAATATAAATTCTGAATTGAATTCTTTTTAATAATAATAATAATAAAATTGTTTTAATTTAAATTTTTTTTCAAAAAAATTCCTAATTTTTTTCTAACAATGCAAATGATTATACTTTTTTCGTCATGGCCAATTCGTAAAATATACTATTAAGTTAATAAAATATAAATTAAAATTAATTTAACCCGAAACGTTTATAAATAATTAATTACACTTACTTATTTATTAAATTTTTGTAAAAAAAATTTCGTTATTTTTAAATTTTTCGAACATAAAACCGCCATGATAAATAATAATAATAAAACAAAAGTTCGTTTATCGACAAAATTCTCTTTTTTTTTTTAACGTTGTGGCGACGAAAAGGGTTAACACACACACACACACAGTTGGCTACAATTTATTTTAGTATTCGAAAAGGAAATTTTTTTTTTTTTTTTTTTTTTGTATTATTATTATTATTATTATTATTATTTTGTGTTAATTTTATTTTTTATTACGTAATAGTTTTTGGAGTTGAATAGAGAAAAACTTTTTCTACGTTTATTTATAATACCGGGAACAAATAAATTTTCTACGGTGAGTTATTCATACGTATTCTTCTATCCCAATTTTTTTTTTTTAAATATAAATTTTGTAAATATATGATATTAAGCCTAGCTGCGTCTCATATTACTTGTTGTACTCTTATATTTTAAATGCAGGTCCATAAGCTAATCATATTAACATTATTAACTTACCCGTGTAAAAAAAAAAAAAAAAACGTAAGCCTAATAGGCCAAGGTCAAGGCCATGGCTCTTGTATAATAAAACCTTGAAATAAAAAACGCATCATCTTGGAAAAAAAAAAAAAAAAAATTATATTCCGCTCATCTTTCGGCTATGGATTAACTAACGTGTATTTGTAAAAAATTTTTTCCTTCTGAAAATAATAATAATAATAATAATTAATAATAATAAAAAATCAAGTGCTTAGTAATAACATCTTTTTTTTTTTTTTTTCTACTCAACGTACCTCGGTTACTAATTATTATTATTATTATTGGTAAGTTAAATATCCAAACTTAAACCTAAAAAAAAAAAAATTTCAATTTCAATTTAAATTTAAATTTCATATACGATATTACACACACACACACAAAAAATCATTTTAAGCTAATTTAATAAAGTTTAAACAAATAATTACTTAATAATAATAGTAATAATAATAATGATGATGATGATGATGGAAGTGTTAAATTAACATCATATATATATATATATATATATATATATATATATATATATGTGCAAATATCATGTAATATGTTCAAAAATTTAATTTTTAAACCTTTTTTTTTTTTAATTTCATTACTGCTGTTTATTATTATCACTATTATTATTATTATTACTATTATTATTATTGTTATTGTTATTGTTATTGTTAGAAATAATCAATTTGTGAAATTAAATAATTGAAACAAATATTTCATAATGAACTACTCGTATTTTCTTCCCTATTATGTATTATTATTTAATTTTTTTTTTTTTTTTCTAACAATGTTTAGGCAATATTTAACCAAAAAAAAAATTATTGGGTAAAATTTAAATTTAAAAAAAAAAAAAAAAAAAAAAAAAAATCTTTATCAAAGCTACCAAATTAATTTTCCTGTTTTGATAAGATTGGTCGTAAGCTTAGTAGCTTAACAAAATTCGAAATTGATTTATCGAATGTTTTATATTTAAAAAATATTATTTATGTAAGAAATCTATTTAATTTTTTTTAATTAATAATAATTATTTTAAATTTGATAAGTGATAATTGTTTGAAAAATGAAAATTTTAAACAAAAAGTTTACAATCGAAAAAAGAAAATTTTTCATATTATGCCTTCATGTTTTTATTTTTACCCCCCCCCCCCCCATGTCTGTGAATTTAATTTTAAATGTTGTGAGTTTAAAATTATTTTTTTTTAAAACGTTTTCATTAGTGTATGTATCTATTTTTTCATTTTCAAAATCATTATCATAATTATCATTAATACCATTATTATTATTATTATTATTATTATTATCATTCATAATCGCATGATAGAAATTACAATTTTGTACTCATAAACTCGAGTAATCTGATGGCAGTCAAACTTTTCTAATCTCAATTGGAGTTAAAAGAGAATTTTACACTAAACATGTGGCAAAATATGTTATAATGAAACAAACTAACTTAATAAAAGGGTTAAAGTAATGTACAATCAATAGATAATCGCACTTAGAAACAGGAGGTCAAAAATTTTATATTCACCTGATACGATAAATGATGAGATGAAAAAGGTATTTAGTTAAACTACCTCTATTTTGTTAAGTGTGACAGGAGTCAACTACTCATAATCAGTTCAAGAAATGCAAAAATTATTAAATGGAGTCTATTTTGCCTTTTCATGATTTCTTACTTAAGTAAAATCAATTATTATTATTATACAAGCTACCCAATTCCTCCTGATTTAGATTTAAATGGGGCGGGAAGGGGGGGGGTGTTACACCATCTCTAAACGATAAACTATGTTGTAATGAATATTTAGTTAAACTACTTATTTAATTAATCAAAAGAAACGATTAGAATTTTTAAACTGTTTTTTTTTTTTTTTTTTTTTTTGGGGGGGGGAGGTATTTGCCCTATTTTTTCGTTAGCCTAAGCAAGTGAAATTCAAGGCTTTAAATGATGTGTTTATCCGTAATAATTATACGTACTGAAGCGTCTTCTAACGTTTGTCAAAAAAAAAACCGTTGACTATTTCTAATAATTTAAACTTAAAATAATATAGTTATAGTAAGTCGACATATTGACGTAAATGCATATCAATCATTGCACACTCGCCATCTTTTCTTATTATTATTATTATTATAATTATCGTCATTGTTTTTTTTTTTTTTTTTTTTTTTTTTTTTACACAAGAGCAAAATGTTTAATATTTTATGTTCGAACAATTCATCAATTCTCTGATATTATTATTATTATTATTATTACTTTGATTTATTGTTATTATTATTATTATTTATAAATAACGACGAACGGTTTATCGAAATTTGAAAACATAACACATTTAGTTGTGAAAATGAAAGAAGAAAATTTTGTTTTAAATCATTGATAAAAGTACATGTGAAATAACCATTGACAAACTAATACACAATCACAAACGAATATTAATATTGTTTATGGTTTTTTAAAATGTTTTTTTTTTTTGTTGTTGTTATCATTGTATTCATTTTGTGTGTGTGCGTGTGCGTGTGCGTGTGCGTGTGCGTGTGCGTGTGTCAGGTGTTAATATCATACTTAATGATGCAATTTAAATATATAACGTGTCATTGAGCTCCTGTGATACCACAGGATTTAACGATTTTTTTTGTTTGTTTTTGACATAATTAATCCCGTAGTCTGTTTTTTTAAAAATTTGAATTATTTAAATAGAAATAATAATAATAATAATAATAATAATAATAATAAACTCACTTTCGTTTTTTTTTTTTTGATATTTAAATTCACAGGAATGATTTTTTTTTTTTTTTTTTTTTTTTTTTTTAAATACTAAAGTGGGGTCTTGTATTTTTATTTTGTATAGTCAGGGGCCGACATGGATTTAGAGAGAAGGAGAGGAGAAGTTGAGGGACGTCAATAGTCAAAAGGGGTTTTTTTGTAGTACAACATGTCCGGAGACGGTGCTCCCATATTGGCAATATCGCACATAAAAAAAGAAGTCGATGGATCGGGATTTCTAGCATGTTCTCCCACGAACAGCAGCACGAGCACCAATATATATTCTCCAATGAAAACGGAGCTCCCCAATCAAATGGATTATGGGAATTTGCAAGAAATGAATTGTTACGACGTGACTCATTCGAGATCTCCGGAAAGTCCCGATCAACAATTTTGCTCTTCGACGACTCAATTCGTCGGGGAAGCTAGTGTAAATAACGCGGAAGGAGAAATACGGGAAGATGATTTACCGAGAAGACTGTGTTTAGTGTGCGGAGATGTGGCTTCTGGTTTTCATTACGGAGTCGCATCTTGCGAGGCTTGCAAAGCATTTTTCAAAAGAACTATACAAGGTAATATAGAATACACTTGTCCGGCGGCTAACGATTGCGAGATAAACAAACGTCGGAGAAAAGCATGTCAAGCGTGCAGATTTCAAAAATGTTTGAGAATGGGAATGCTTAAGGAGGGAGTCCGGTTGGACAGAGTCCGGGGGGGACGGCAAAAATACAGGAGAAACACGGATACCCCGTATCAAATACATTCTATGCTACCCCTCAAACCCTATCTCCCTAGTCTCGAAGACAATAAAATACTTGAAGCATTATCACTCAACGAGCCGGATATATCGGTCATGGCTCAAGATATATCGAACGCGGATCCGGCCGTAAGAACTCTAAACATATTAAGCGACTTATACGATCAAGAATTGGTCAAAATAATAACATGGGCCAAACACATTCCGGGCTTTTTGGATTTAACGCTCAACGATCAAATGAGGCTGTTGCAAAGCACGTGGGCGGAAATATTGACTCTCACCGTCACGTACAGATCGCTCCCGGGAACGGGAGAATTGAAATTCGCCGCGGATTTTTCGTTCGACGAAAAAATGGCTCGCGAATGCGGTGCCATGGACATTTACCAACACTGCATGCACATCGTCGAAAGGCAAGAAAAACTTAACATAACGAAAGAAGAATATTACATAATAAAAGCTCTGGTTTTGGCCAATTCCGACGTTCGCATAGACGATCTTCCCCCATTGAAAAAACTAAGGGACAACATATTATCGGCTCTCGCGGATTGCGTTGCCGTTCTCCGTCCAAACACCACGTCTCTGCACATGAATCATTTGCTTCTGTGTCTTCCCGCCCTCAGACAAGCGGATTACATAAATAGAAGATTTTGGACCGCCGTTCACCGCGAGGGTAAAGTTTACATGAATAAACTATTTATCGAAATGCTTGAATCGTACATAAGATAAAGAACAAAAAGAAGACAAATTGTATATTCTACGAATAATAATAATAATAACAATAATAGTAATACGTCATCATTGAAATATTTCATAAATATTCAATAGGAAAAGAGAGAGAAAAAAAAAAAACAACGCGAATACGAAGCAAAAAAAAAAGTAATTCGACTTACGATTTAATTATTATATATATATATATATATATATATATATTTAAAAAAATAATAATAATAATTTAATGCACCGAGCTTGCGAAACCCCACAAAACATTCTAAAAGCTTGCGCGTATATGTTCGCTATTTGAATAATAATAATAATAATAATAATAATAATAATAATGACGATAATTATTTAAAAAAAAAAAAAAAAGATGGCAAGATTGTTGTTGTTAATACTTTAGATAAAAAGGTTTTTCATGCATAGAAAATAAATTAAAATATTAAACTTACCCCCCGGAAGTAACATCCGAAGATTTATTTTACGGCATACAAACGATGGGATTTTCTTCTTTTTCCTTTCTTTGGTCAACGTCCTGCTGCTATATCGAAAAGAATCGAAATTTAAAATTCTATCCTGAAAAAAAAGAAAAAGAAAAAAGATTAGTATGAATTATTATTATTATTATTATTATTATTATTATTATTATTATTATTATTATTATTATTACTACTACGTATCAGCCTGATGCGCTATTGTAAATATGCAAAAATAAATAAATAAATAAAACAAAAACGGTGATAGAAGCAAAAAAAAAAAATTTTTTGCTTAGTGATATTGGTCTCAATTATATCGTCATCATGTACGTATGTTATATGTATGTTATTGTTATTATTATTATTATTATTATTATTATTATTATTATTATTATTATTATTATTATTATTTAAAAAAAAACGGTTATAAAATAATAATAATAATACCCGATGATTATAAGAATTATATATACATATATATATATATTTTTTTATATAAATATACAAGTGCAAAATGAAATATAATATGGTTTGTTGTTAAATATATATATATATATATATATATATATATATATATATATATATATATATATATATGTATGTTGTTATACATAAAACGCAATAAATAAATAAATAAATAATATTTTCTTATTTAAATAAATACGAATGATTTTTCGCGAATTATTTAATATATATATATATATATATATATATATATATATATATATATATATATATATATATATATATATATATTTACTCTTTATTTAATTATATTTTCATCATCATCATCATCTTATTTAGTCGCGAGAGTGACGTCACCACGGGTAAGAGAGAGAAAGAATTTTTTTTTTTTAAATTTGAAATTTATTTTGGCGCGATCAATAAAACGATAAACGTACGTATAATTTTTTTTTTTTTTTTTTTATTTACTATTGGTGTTCACGACGATGATGATGATGATGATGATGATGTAGTCGAAAGTTATTATTATTATTATTGTGAAATGATTGGTAAGATTTGGGAGAGGGGGGAGAGCGCACTCTATAAACAAAGAAAATGGCGAACGAACGAAAAAAAAAAAAGTTATTAAATTATTTAAATATGATTTTTTTTTTTCAAGCATTGCAAAAGCGTAATAATAATAATGATGATGATAATAATAATAATCTGGCTTCGGATTTAAAAAAAAAAAAAAATTTTTTTTTTACGCAATTAAATGCCGTTTTGGCACAACAAATGTTTATACATAAAAAAAAAAATGTGGCAGGTTTTTTTTGTCTAACATTAATAATAATAATAATAAATGAAACGACTAATATTTTATATGATGAAATATATGAAAAAGAGATAAATTATTTATATTATTAAATAGACTTAAAGAAGAGATTTACCTATTTAAACAAATTTTTTTTTTCTTTTTATGTACATAATGTATGTATGTAAATGTATTTAAAGAAAATTTATATATATATATATATATATATATATATATATTGGTAATCAAACTGCTGGAAACTGTTTTATACGATATAAAACAATGTAAAATATTGAAAATTGTGGTAGAGATGATGGTGGTGGTGGTGGTGGGGGGTGGTGATGTGAACGTGGTAATGATTTAACGACATGTAATTAATTAATTAATTTTTTTTTTTTTTTTTTAAAACGTTAATAATGATGATGATGATTATGACAAAATCCTGCGCTGTGTGTGAGTGTACGCGAAAGGGGGGGGGGAGAGACAAAACCCGACGTGAATTATTATTATAATTATTATTTTTTCCCACACGAAAATATGAAGTAATTTAAACACACGTGTTTTTTTTTTTGGTAAATATGTTTACATTTTTATTATCATTTTTATCATTATCATCAGTATTATTATTATTATCCACCATTAAACACGACAAGGCTACTCGTCGGAGTTTTTTTAAGTATTTATCCGAGGTTTCTACCCGATTCCTTAGGGACAAATACTCGAATTTCGGTGGTGCCACTTATTATAAGATAGCACCACATCAATTCTTGAAAGTCTTCCTGAGTCCGTCTTTTTCGATGGGAACGATTTGTCTCCTGAACTGGGCTCCGGTGACTAACATCTTTGGAGTGGCCAGGGTCAGAAGCAGTGAAATTCACGTTCTCGTCGAGCTGCCTCAGGTCGACAGTAGAACAAGATTTTGTTTTTGGTTCTTACTTTGTCTTGTTCTCATTTTTTTTTTGCTCTTTTTAAGCCAACAGCACGTGGCGTTCTCAAACGGTCACCCATCCAAGTTTGCACCACGCCCGATGCTGCTTAACTTCGGTGATCGTACGGGAACCGGTGTGACCAGCACGCTATGGCCGTTGGCTTTTATTATTATTATTATTATTATTATTATTGTTGTTGTTGTTGTTGTTGTTGCAATCGATTGCAATTGATTGCACTGAGAGGAATTTAAATGAAAAAAAAAAAAAAAAAAAATTGGATTTCTAGAAAGGAAAATTTTCATAAGAAAAATGGTTTTAAAAAAAAGAGAGAGAGAGAGAGAGAGAGTTTAGGATTTTTATGAATTGAAAGATGAAAAAGAAGGAAAAAAAATTAATTCGATCGCGTGATTATTTACAAAAATCGTGCCAACAATAAAATTGTTGTACAATAAAAAAAACAAACAAACAACAACAACAACAACGAGAAAAAGTGAAAATGAAAATAATTATCGACTTTTCGTTCGCGACGATTCCATTCATCTATTTATTTATTTTTATTTATTAAATTAAAATCGAATTACGTCACGGATCGATTAATAAATAAATAAATAAATAAAATTAATGTAATGCCGGACGGCGGAGATCGATTTCAAATTCAAATGTCAAAAGATACTTCAAAAGAGTTTTTCATTACAAATATTTATTTTTTTTTTTTCAAGGTTATTTTATAGAAGGATAAACAGAGCGTGAGAGAAAATATAGATAGGTAGATAGATAAGTAGACAGAAAGAGATAGACAGACAGAGAGGCAGATAGATATATAATGAGAGAGAGAGAGAGAGAGAGAGAGAGAAAAACAGCTTTAGATTTTAATTTATATAAATGTATATGTACATATATATGTATGTATCAGCTGATTAAATAACTCGTTGCCTTTTAAATATATAAATATATATCTGCTTTATAGTCTATATAAAATTAATAATAATAATAATAATATATATATTTATATTTTTAAAAAAAAGAAATATTTACTCCGCAAAATGCCATTTACTACATCTCTCGCCTTTATTTAAATCAGTTTAATGTCGAATTTTAAATTATTATTATTATTATTATTATTATTATTATTATTATTATTATTATTATTATTATTATTATTATTATTACTATAAAGATAATCATAATTATAATTATCATCATCATCATCGTCATCACCATCATCATCACCATCATCATCATCATCACCACGATCGTGATAGTTAATTATTACAATATATTTTTGACGGTTGATGATTGTTCAATGAGACTGTTTACATCATCATCATCATCATCATAATCATTATTATTATTATTATTATTGTTATTGTTATGCTAGAAGGTCCTTATTACGAATGTTTGAATGAATTTTTCATTATTATTATTATTATTTTTTGTTGTTGTTGTTATTGTTGTCGCTTGAAATGAATTTAAAAAAAAAAAAAAAAGTTTAAAGCCGGAAAAAAAAAAAAAAATTACGGCGGCTAAGTGCCTGAGAGACGTTATTACTTTTCCAGTGGGGAAAACAATAATAATAATAATAATAAGTTAATGGGGAAATATTTATTTACAAAACACAAATCGATGATGTGTGAAGAGAGAGACTGTGATAACGTTAATGATTTGATGAAAATTATTATTATAATTATTATTATCATTATTATTTTTGTTAATTATATAATGTAATGAAAGAAAGAAAGGCCTTCATATACATACATACATATGCATATATATATATATATATATATAAATAAATACTTATGTGTTAATAATTAAAAAAAAATTAATCGCGAAAAGGCCTATTGTAAATTTATTTCTTTTTAAATATTAATTTAAATAAAACTAAATATATATATATATACATAGATATATATTATATTATTGAAAATGGTTATTTTTTTTTTTTCTTTCTAACCAGTTCCAAAAATAATTAAAAAGTAAATAAATAAAAAAATAAAAGTAAAAGTAAAGTAAAGAAAGAAAAGGGGATAAGGAAGGAAGAAATCAAAGGGTGGACCGAAAATGGATTTAATGGAATTTGAAGAATTGTTATTGACGAACAACGACGACGAATTAGACACGCCGAAAAGCGAAAGAAAAGAAGGTGGAAAAAGGGGAAGGAAACCGGGTAGGAAAGCATCGGATAAAGTTGACGTCAAAGCCAAATTGGAACGTAGCAGGCAAAGCGCGAGAGAATGCAGAGCGAGAAAAAAATTAAGGTATCAATACCTGGAAGAACTCGTGACGGATAGGGAGAAAGCCGTCATTGCATTACGTAAAGAATTGGATAAATATAAAGAATGGAATCGTGAACTGGACGAAGATCGCATACCCGAAGGTTTAACAGAACTTTTGGAAGAAATGGGTTCGATAAAAACGGAACAATAATAATAATAATAATAATAAACTCACGTTATTATTTCACGTCGACCATGGTTAAAGGTAACGCTTTCTTTTCTTTTCTTTTCTTTTCTTTTCTTTTTTTCTTTCCTTTACTATTATTATTATTACTATTTTTTTTCCCTTCTTTTTTCTTAACCTAAAATGATAACATAAATAAAACAGTTATCAAAAGAGTTATTAATGATAATACTATTTTTTTTTTTTTAATAAAAAGTTCATTCGATTGAAAATAAATAAAAAATAAATAAATGATTTTTTCATATTTTATAAAGTTTTCGCTTAATTTTTGTAAAACATTATGTGACGTCACATTAATCAGCAAAAAAAAAAAAAAATAATAATAATAATAGAAAGTAATTTTTTTTACATAACATTGCAATAATTATTAAGATGCTTTGTTTGCTTTATAAAAAAAAATTAAAAATAAGTTAAGTTTTTAAATATTTACGAAAGTTAAAAAAAATTATTTACGATTTAAATATTCAAATTTAAAAAAAAAAATAATAATAATAATGATAATATAAGTAATTAAAAACATGTGTATTTTTTTTTTTTTTTTACCATTAGAATTTTGTTTAAAATTACATTTATAAAATTTTCTGTTGTATTCACAGCTTATGTTTTATCATTAAAATATATCATCTTGTGTTAAATCGGATGCAAATTGTACACCTCTGTCTTTTAACGCCTTTGTCAATAATTTATAATGTTCCTGTTTAGCTTCTTGTTCCCTCCTTTGAGCATCTAATATATCATCGACAGAAACTTCATCGAGTGGTAAGTCTTTCTCTTTATCTACATCCTATTAATAAGAAATAATATATGATGTACGATTATCAGGCGATAATAAAAAAAAACACAATGCAAGTAAGTTACAAGTTTGAAAATGATTTGTAATTAATCGTCTCGAAAAAAAAAAAAAAAACATTTACTGACCTCCTATTACAATTTAAATATAATGTTAATTCATAAATTGGGTTTAATAATCGAGAAACAAAAATGATCGATACATTCGATAAGTTTTTTTTTTTTTTTTTAAATGCAATACAAATGAAGAATTTTAGTAGGAATTATATACTTACAATTTCACCTAATAATACCATATTTTCTCCTCTAACGATAAAAACCCCTCTGTATATATCTCCATATTCTTTTCCTACATGTATTCTTTCAATGGTCTTATGTAAAACTAAATTAGCAAATTGATCAACACTCCTTAAATAACCTATTAATGTTCTTCCATCTCTAAGTAATACCATAAGTTTTTCTGAAAACAAAGTTACCTAAAAGTTAGAACAAGGAAAAAAAAAAAAAACATTTTTCAACGATTTTAAAACAGAAAAAAAAAAAATAAAAAATACAAATACACTTTATGTAAATTTCAACAATCAATCAAATGCAAACGAATTATATTATTACTTACTATCTAATTCTTCGACAAGGGAAGCAGTTCCCGCGGGAAAATTATTTATTACATTCATCATATTTTATAAACATTTAATTTAAAAAAAAATAATGTAATACACAACCTAAATTAACGTTGACATGAAAATAATTTCTCTAACATATAAAGTGAAAACTCTAAACCGAAAATTTCATTTTTCGGGGCCTTAAAATTGAATTTCAATCGTCACGTCTATGGCGCGCGGTAAATATAAAAAACAAAAAAAAAAACGTAACGATTCTGTTTTATGCACGAAAATATAAAATAATTATTAAAAAACCGAAATAAAATCATATAATCTTACATTTTCAAATATTCAAAATGGCGTTCGTTTACAGTGAAATAAATAAATTTCAGTTGGCAACAAAGTAAACAATGTTTTTTTTTTTGGCGCGAAAACTCATCGTCGTCATTTCGATTACGTTAATGTCATTATTTACATTATCTGAAATTTTCTAATCGCTTCATTCACGTTTCAATTAATTTATGTGATATATTTTTACTGCGGTTTATTTTACGCGATTATTTTCTATTTTTTATACGTGAATAAATACGAAGGGAATAAAACAAAATATATATATATATATATATATATAATTCAATATGGCGTGACGGTATCGAATTTTTGTTGTTGTTATTTTTTTCCTGGCTTTTTTTTTTTTAAAATCCAACATTCAACATTCATAATTGATCATGAGTGTTTCCTTTTACGTTATGCGATACATCACTTGTAACCGACAATAAGAAATTTAATACATTACCCAGCCTTGAAATTTAAACAATTAATTAACTCCAAAATTTCATTTTTTTTTTGTTCTTTTGGATTGGATCGTTATGAATTAACTCCATCAGTGTCTTTTTCAAGTCGTGTGAAAGTAAAATCATTAAAACAAAGCAACGAAATCATCACCTAAAAAAAAAGCATGATTAATAAACAATTAATAAACAAACCTTTTTTTTGGAAATTTTACAGTATCTAAAGATGCGAATTTATGACATTTTAAAGATTCTAAAACAAAACCTACTTTTATCCATTACATAATTAATGTCTTGTTTTTCTTTTAATGAAAAAAAAAAAAAACACTTTCCCCCCAAAAAAATAAATTAAACAACCATTTATAATTTTCCGGTGTTAGTGTATCACATGTAACTCTCATTTAAACGTGAACAAAACCGTTACTTGAAAGTCACGTGATTTTTTTTTTTTTTAAAATAACGGTAGAGGGCGCGCGATCAAACGATTGGGTTAGAGGGGGGGGGAAGAAAGCATGAATTTAATAAACGACATATTTAACATATCATTAATTTCCAATTAACGGAAAAAGGAAATTCACGTAGGTTTAAAAAATTAGTTAAAAAATTTAATACTTTTCTTTTTTTTTTTTTTTTACCCTTTTATATGAAATCACTACTACTGACTAATAACACAAAAGCAATTGAAATTTCAAATAAATTTATATAAAAAAAAAAAATGTCAAAAGAATCGATCGATTGATGCGGTTTTTAATCAAAGAATAAGATCGTCAAAGAGATTTCACGTACTCATACGCCCCCCCGTGTGTGTGTGTGTGTGTGTGCGTACATAAGTTTATTATTAAAATTTTAATTTGCGGACATTTTTCTTCTTTTTAACTGTCATCATCATCATCATCATCATCATCTTTTTTTATTAATCTCTTTAAATATATATATATATCTTCTGCCCGTTTATTTAATTTTTTTTTTTGACAATGCCGAACGTCAATTCTTTTTACTCTCATACTCTTCTCTTGTTTCTACCCTCTCTTATTACTCTCTCCAGTCATCTGTTTTTTTTTAAGGGTTTCGGAGTGGGGGAGAGAGAGAGAGAGAGAGAGAAAAAAATCCATTTAAAAATATCATTATGTCATAACAACAATCTTTACAATGACTTATAAACCAACGTTGTATGGTTGTATCATGTCTAATAAAAATTCCATCGTATTTATTGGAAAGGGAAAATGTTGTCACGGTGGTGTGAGGACGAAGAATAAAAGAGTAAGAGAGGGGGAGAGACGGACGGGGGAGGTATGGGAAGAGTAGGGATGAAGAAAAGGAAAAGAGTAATCAGGAGAGAGAGAGAGAGAGAGAGAGAGAGATTTTGACTTCCGCGAAAAATGAGGAACTCAAAAATCTTTTGTAAGCATCCCCTTGTTACATCATCGATGATATTTTCTTTTTAATTAATTGAAAAAGGGCATAACTAACAAATATGAAATTTGTCACGCGTTTTTATAAAAAGAAAAATTAACGGAAATCAATTCATTTATTCATTTATTTCCGGTTTTGAATGTAAAATATGGCGGATGTTTTATTTACATTTATATTAATTAATTTATTTTTTAATTATAGATTTTTTTCGTTTAATAACGAGAGTGAGAGAATGTGAGAGAGTGAGAGAGAGAGAGAGAGAGAGTTAGAGAGAGAGAGAGAAAATTTTTTTTTCTTTTTCTTTTTTTTTCCAAAGCATTTAAACCTTTTTCGTGCTTTGACCGTTTTTTTTTTTTTTTGATTGTCCTGTTGACAAGCGATTAGGAATGCTAAGAACTTTTAATCGGTTCCGAAATTTTATTAACATTTTATTAAAAATCTGTCTCGTTTTATGTTTATTTATATCTTTGCACTCCCTTAAGGGTTTGTTTTTTCTTTCTTTCTTTATGGTTCGAGTTAAAATATTTATTTTAATTATTTTCTTTTTTTTTTTTCCCCCGGACGTTTTATTTTTTCCAAACATTTTCCTATTTGCCATTCGTTTCACACGAATTTACTATCGTAAAATAAACCAAAATTAAGACAAAGACTTCATTTCATCTTCTTTTGCCACGACTTTTAAAGTCACGACGACGACATTTTTTTTTTTTTTTACAATTACACACATTTACAAATCCTAATTAAAACGTTTCCTTTTTTTTTTTTTTAAATACTTTTCTTCATTTTCATAGAGTAAAAAAAATATTTAAATTAACCGATGCGATTAACTTTCAAACGTTACATAAAGTTTTAATTATTTAAAATGAGTAAAAAAAAAATAGGATTGTTACAATTAAAATGAAAAACGTTTTCGTTAAAATTATATGGAAAATGCCGGACTCACAATGCGATTAATTTTTCATCCTTTTATCACATTCATTGTCCATTTAATCCTTTTTTAACTCATTAAATTCCTTTATTAATATTTTCGATAATTATTTTTTTTTTTTTTTGTTGACCCTTTGTCTCAATCATAATTCGCCTAACGTCTTATAGGAATCAAATGTTTCTCCCTTTAAACAAAAAAAAACGTAATCCTTTTTAATTATTATTATTATTATTTTTTGTCCGTCTTGTTTTAATTAAAATCATCCCGCAAATATTGCCTGTATCGAATTCTCGTGTGTTTTATTATTATTATTACCGTTATTGTTTTGTTTTCATTATTTTTATTTACTATTTTTCGTCATGACAGTTATGCCATCAACTTTATATACGTGTAAACAATATTGTTTTGATCATTCCAAATATGAAATCCCCGTCCAATGACGTTAAATAATAATAATAATAATTAATCGTTTCATAAACAAATAAATAAAATATTATTATTATTTCAGCTAGATCAACATATCGTGATCAACTATGAATTATTTAAATATTAATTTCCTCATGAAATGCCATTTTTTTTTTTTCTGTAAATAAATTTTTTTTTTTCCCTTTAAATTCATTTTTAATGTTTATTTATTTGTTTATTTATTTATTTATTTATTTTTGTTTATTTATTTAATTTGATTATTTATTTTTAATTTTTGAATCAGTATGAGGTCAAATCCGTTTTTTTTTTTTTACTACTGCGACGATTTTCTTTGCCTTTTTTTTCCTATTTTACCAAAACAAATTCATTAATTGTTATCATTATTATTATTATTATTGTTAATATTATTGTTATTATTGTTATTGTTATTAATTTATTTATTTTTTCTAGTTTTAAAAATCGCGCGTGATGTGTTCGCATATATAATTGTTTTGCATATTTCGACGATTTTTGTTTTTTTTATTACACTGCTTAAATATTATTATTATTATTATTATTATTATTATTATTATTATTATTATTATTATTATTATTATTATTATTATTATTATTAATTCGAGAAGATTTAAAAAATTGTTATAAACAATTCATTTAAATTATTATTATCTTGTCGACAGAGTAAAAATTATTATCATTATTATCGCGTTGATAATTTTTTTTGAAAATTTTCCAACGTACGAATTTTCAATAAACATTTAATGGGAAATTTTTTTTTTCCTTTGTTTTTATTTACCTGTCGCCATTTTTAAAAATTTTTTTATAATTTCAATTTTTTTAAAAATACGTTTCCGGTTGGATGAAACAAATCATGATTTTCCCGGCGGAAATGGTGTATTATTATCCCGTCGGCGGAAAATTTTTGAAAACGCCTTAAAATCGATCAGATTAAAATTTTCGTTTTTTTTCTCTAAAATTTTCACGTGGAAAATGTCGGACGAAATAAAAAATAAAAAAATTAAAACGTAAAATTTTTTTTTTTTCCTTTTTTGTTTTCCTTTTTTTTTCCTCTTTTTTCCTTTTTTGTTTCTTCTTGTCGTTTTTTTTTTTTTTAACAAAAGCATTTTAATTTTTTTTTTTTCTTGTTAATTTCAATCGTGCGTAAACGCTTGAAGAACAAAGCAAGCCGAAAAAAACATGAATTTCCCGTTCACAGCATGACAACAAGATCATATACATACTGACCGGAAAATTTTAATTGTGGGCGGAGCGAGAAAAATTTTAACCAATCGTAAATATCCGTGATTACGTTTAACCAATGAGATTACGAATAGACGAGTTGAAACGTTTCGAGTACGGACTAAACATATTATATTATTATATCCCTTTAAATTCACCCCTATTTTAAAATTATAGGTAATTCCGCGTAAACTGACGCTTGAAAAAATTTTCCCTTTTATTTTGATTTTCTCCAGCATAGATATATAAAAAACAAAAAATTTTCCCCGTCAATTTCGTTAAAACAATTCAAATCTTTCTAAAATGGTTTGAGAGAAAAATGGAAAAAGGACGAAGTGGTAGATAGGTCCTGAAGGAAGGAAGGGATTCAATCTCAGCCGTTTATTGAGGCACAAGGACAAAGTGTTTACGAAAACAATTTCATCAAAAAAAAAATTTTTTTTTTTTTTTTTTTCAGTAAGAAAAGACCGAGAATAATAATAATGTTATTAAAAGACGACCGGTTGCACAATTTTATAAAATTCTTTTTTCTGGGAAACTTGAGTAACTTTTTTTTTTTTTTTTTTTTTTTTCTTTATAAAAAAAAAGAGGAAAAATCGAGAAAGAAAACGTAGGGAGAAAAAGGCAAAAAAAAAAAAAAATTTCTTTCTGTCGTTTGACGAAAAAAAAAAAAAAAAAAACAATTTTGCGGCTTTTAACAATTTTACAACCCCCTCATTGTAATATTACGAATAATAATAATAATAAATTTTTTCGCGGAAAATCGCGGGAAAACAAAAAAGAAAATTTAATATTTTTTTTTTCTTTCTTTTTCGCCTGATACCTTAAGTGTGAATAATAATATTTTTTGTGTGATCGGTTCGTTAAATTTTATCATTATTATTATTATATTTAACATTGGGTTTTTCGTATAATAAAAAAAAAGTAAAAATGTGTGTGTTTAAGGGTGCGTGAGAGTGTTAAGGGTTGAAGGTATTATTATAGTGATGATATCAAGACAGAAGGGCAGAACATTTCTGGAGGAAGGAGGAGCTAAATCTCTCTCTCTCTGTCAATAAAACTACTCTATCATTATTAACATTTTAGGTAGTATCACAGTTTGAACGTGTTATTCATCAACAACAAACGTGGTTTTATATTTTGGTTGTTATTGTTTGTTTTGTTGTTGTTGTTGTTGTTGTTGTTGTGGTCGTGTGTGCTCTTGTGAATTTTACGCGAAAATACCAGTCGTTACTTTTTTCTTATTAAATTAAAGTACCGGTCGGTTGTTTTATGGAGGGGATTTTACCGATTGATAAATAAACGAAAAAAAAAATATTTTTTAAAAAAACTTACCGGTCGTCGAAACAATTTAACAAAAAAATGATGCAAATGCCGTTATCGTCATATCCACATTTTTCCCAATATTTACAACTTCAACAGCTTCACCAACAGAGATATTCATCAAGAAATCTTTTACCGACGACACAAAATTCAGATTTTGGAATGAACAGATCTGGCACATCATGTTCTGAAGCTAGTACGGAGGATACGTCGAGTCCGAGTCCGAGTCCTCCGCTTTCCATAACCGGAAATAATTATCATAACACGTCGAATCCGTCGGAAAATAATCAAAATTCGACGAAATCTACAAAATCATTTACTATTGATGCCATTTTAGGGATTCGGGATCGTGATGTCGATCGAGATCATGTTAATTACTTACCGAATAATTATCATCCGAGATTAGGTTTGAATTTAACAAATTCTTCCACGGTGGAAACGACGAATAATTATTCTAATACTACGTCGTCGTCGTCGTTGGAATTGTCTACTGCTACTGCGACTACGAGATTTTCATCTTCTTCGTCATCTAGACATTTATTAGGTTTTCAAATTCCGACGGATTTAAGAACTTCATCGGATTTATCCAATTTCGGAAGTGAAATCAACAGGAGACATTTACAAAATCAAATATCAAATTATCATAATTCAAATTGTAACGATTTGACAGGTGAGTTGAGTTTTCTTCTTCTTGCTTCCTTTTTTTGAATTTTCCCGTGTCGTGCGATTAACGAAGTGGGAAAAAGATTTTCCGAACATCCGACGGAAACTCGCAGGAATTTTTAGAAAATCTTTCACCAATTTTCCGAATATCTGCAAACAAAAAAAATTTTTTTAATTAATTTTTTTTTGTATTTAAAAATCAGAAAAGCTAATTTATTTTTTAAAAAATCGATCGGGGTTTTAAATTTATTTATAATAATTAATTAAAATTTTATTAAACGCGCTTTTTTGGTAACGAAAATTTTTAAATAACATCGATTTTCTTTTTCTCTCTAATACGACAAAAATTTTCATGTGGAAAATTTTAAAAATACGAATTAGAGACAGGTTTTATAATTTTTCTAATTTTTTTTTTTTTATTCTATTCATAAAGAGGTTTATTGAATTTATTATTAATAAACAAAGCTTAATTTCGCGGTTTTCAAAATTACAAAAACAATATGGTTTAATTAATTTTTGAAATTAATGATCTAAATACGGGAAACAAACAATGTAGGAAACAAACAAACAAATTGAAATTTTCTACCTTATTGTCAAACAGAATGCGAAAACAACACTTATTATTACCTTCGCCCTCTCCCCACCTCCCTCCATCCCTCTCGTAAAACTTTTCACCCTTATATATTTTACATTGAAATGAATTTGTTTTCTCTCAAATTTTACAATTTTATTCATCCAATAACAAACAAGCAAAACATTTATTATTTGGAATGAAGAGAAAACAAAAAACGTGGTGTTGTCGGTTGACATTTACAAAAAAAAAAAAAAAAAAAAAACTCGTCGGAAAATGATTATATTTAATTTTATTTATTATTAATTGATATATAAAATTCATAATTTTCATCCGGGAAATTGTTTTACCCATCCTAAAGGCACGATGTATTATTATGACGTCACAAAAATTTTCATTTATATAAAATTTGCCAAACGTTTTAACATCGTATGAAATAATTACGTGGGAAACAATCAATTAAATCCCTAATGATCGATCGATCGAAAAAAAAAGGAAGAAAAATAATAATAATAATAATAAATTTTTTTTTTTTTGAGGACTCTCATTTGGCACGTTCCTCTTCTACTCTTTATACTACATGACTTTTGTAATATATATTTAAAAAAAAAATATATTAATATTGTTAATAATTTAAATGACAAAAGAATTATCATCCATAAGTCATGCATGATTTATTTAACTGAACCAAAGAATTTTTTTTTTTCTCAATAATTAATAAATTAGATCGAGATTTATTACCCTTGTACGTATATAAAAAAAAAAAAAAGTAGGAGGACATGTTGAAAATAAAAATAAAATAAAGAAAAAGACATGATAATATTGCGGTGTAATGTGGCAATCATTAAAGAATCATTCATGTATGAAATATAATACGTATATTCATTTGTAAGGGTGCTAAAACGTACGAGGTTTATTGTTTTCCTTTTTATTATTATTATTATTATTTTTAACTTACACCCTGTATACGTGATAATAACTTTTTTTTTTTTTAATCATTTTCCCTTTTCTTTTTCGAAACCCTATCTTACCTCCCCGTGAGTACAACACGTTACCCTTTTTTGTAAGTGGTATAACACTCTACAAATCATTAAATACACAACAAGCCACAATATGATACCACCCATCACCATCGGACAAATCTTTTGTTATCCTTTTGTAAATTTTATTAATATTATTATTATTTTGTGATTGTTTTACTGATACGATTTTCTGTTTTTTTTTTTTTTTTTTTTGTTAATCGTTCGCGTAGAAAAATCATCCAACGAAAGTGTAAGTAAAAAATGCGGCGGAAAAGCTAAAAGAGTGAGAACGATATTCACTCCGGAACAATTGGAAAGATTGGAAGCCGAATTCGAAAGGCAACAATACATGGTGGGACCAGAAAGATTGTATTTGGCACATACTTTACAACTAACGGAAGCTCAGGTACGACAGCGTTTCGATAAATGCTTACACAAAATCAAACAATTTATTGAGGGGGCAAAAAAAAAATTATTTTTTTTTTTACAAACAGGTAAAAGTTTGGTTTCAAAACCGGCGGATAAAATGGCGGAAACAACATTTAGAAATACAACAACAGCGTTTGGCTGCTATTAAACAACAAAATCAAAGAGGTGACGTCGATGATAGCGATGACGAAAGCGGCGACAGCAGTAATAATTATTCATTTACAACGGATACCAACGACAAGGGGGGCGGTAACGGCGGATTTTTCAAAACCGTCGATAACGAATTAGATAATAATTTAGGACAATTTAACGACAAACTTAATGGCGGCCGCGGCGGTTCTTTTAACGTTACCGAAAATCCGAGTGATAAAAATTCTAAAAATGATACGACGAACAGTGATAATAATTAATTAATGTATTAAATTTCTATTTAAAACGATAAAATCTTTTAGTTACCATCACAAACAAAATAATAAAATAAATAAATAAACTTGTGTGAATGATGTGCCATATTATTATAAATATCCGTGTAAATTCTCATTTATAAAATATTAAAAAAAAATATATATATATATAAATACTGTAATAAACATTAATGTAAATTTTTTTTATAGTGTTATTACGAACGATGATATTTTTGTTATATATATATATTATAATTAAAAATCAATATAATTAATTTTTATTTAGTTGAAAAGACATTTTATTTTATTTTTTTTTTCACTTATCCGCCTACTCTGATCCGAAACCTCCCCCCAATCCCGTTAATTTACGGTGGAAAATCAAAGATATTAATTACACCCTGAGAGAGAGAGGGGGGTGGCTAGGGTTGTTAAAAAAAAAAAACCAAATCGAAATCCAATTTTCCTGACGACAAAATCTTCCACAGAAAAAGAAAAATAAATAAATAAATAAAAGGGCTTACGTGATTTTATTAACATGTTAAAACGTTAACCGCGCCTTAAAATCAGATTTCGAGTTTTCCCCCCTCACCCCACCCCCGACCGCCTGTCCCATAAAGGGAACGAACGTGGAAAATAAAAATTTTAAATAAAAAAAAAAAAAAAAATAGGAGAAAAAAAAGAAAAAACGAAACGATGGGAAAATGGGGGGAGAAGAGAGGAAAGAAGGGAGAGGGAATATTTGCAAAAAAGGATAAAAAACTTTGTTATAAAGCGCATGAATCTCACCACGCATGACACCCTCCCCGCATGTATGATGGGGGTAGGAGGAGGAGGAGGAGGAGGAAGGGGAGGGTTAGAAGAATAAGAATAAGAAGAATCAGGATCAGGGCCGGGACCGGGATCAGCACTGATTCAAATTACTACATTTAACTTAAACTGAGTCTAATAATGACACGCGAAAAGAGATAATTAATTTATGACCGAAAATAAAACTTTTGAGAATATGAATGAAGTAAACCGTGTATAATAAATTAGGTAAACTATTTAGTAAACTTTATTTTCTATTAACCCCCCTCCCCCCTCCTTTTTTTTTTTTAATAATAAATTCAAACGTTTTATTATATATATATATTACATTTTTTTTCTCGGAGCGAACGAAACTTCTTACTATAAAAAAATTTCGCACCTTTTCCGTTAATTAATTAATTTATTATCATTATTTATTATAAATAACAACGTGACGTAAAAGTTTTTTTCTCTCCTTTTAAATAAAATAACAATATTAACTAAATCCACGACGAAAAAACAAAATTTGCAAATGACACGAACGTTTAAAATATTATTATTATTTCGCGAACGATCCCAATTTTATTATTATTATTATTATTATTATTATTATTATTATCCACCATTAAACACGACAAGGCTACTTGTCGGAGTTTTTAAGTATTTATCCGAGGTTTCTACCCGATTCCTTAGGGACAAATACTCGAATTTCGGTGGTGCCACTTATTATAAGATAGCACCACATCAATTCTTGAAGGTCTTCCTGAGTCCGTCTTTTTCGATGGGAACGATTTGTCTCCTGAACTGGGCTCCGGTGACTAACATCTTTGGAGTGGCCAGGGTCAGAAGCAGTGAAATTCACATTCTCGTCGAGCTGCCTCAGGTCGACAGTAGAACAAGATTTGTTTTTGGTTCTTACTTTGTCTTGTTCTCATTTTTTTTTTTTTCTCTTTTAAGCCAACAGCACGTGGCGTTCTCAAACGGTCACCCATCCAAGTTTGCACCACGCCCGATGCTGCTTAACTTCGGTGATCGTACGGGAACCGGTGTGACCAGCACGCTATGGCCGTTGGCTTTATTATTATTATTATTATTATTATTATTATTATTATGTTTTAAAAGCAATATCAGCAAATTGTTAATAATTAAAAAAATTTTTTTTTACCACTACTAAGATCGTATAATTAAAGCACGTTTATAAGTTACCTCTTATCATTTATAAATTATTAATTGGCGCGAGTAGTCTTTTCCTTAAAATTGTATAAAACCTTAATGCCTTATCATTATTATCTAGGTATCATCGTCTATTCGTGATAATATACTATTTAAATAAATTTAAGTTTTGTTTATTGTTTTCCCCCCGTAGAATCGCCTATTTAATTCTCTACACTCTTCTTATTTCGACACTTTTAAATCTACTGTTTACTATTTTTGTAATTATGATAACCTATTAGTTTTTTTTTTAAATACTCTTTTCAACTTGTCAAATGATAATAATAGGAGGTTGTTTTTCTTTTTAAAAATAAATAAATAAATAATAACGTTCGAGTATACTCGTTCTCGTACTCATTGAAACGGTAAATTAAAAAATTAACAAAAGTAAGTAGGAGGTAATACCGACTACTACAATAAAACCAGCGGGATGCCGAAAAAAAAAAAAAAAAAAATTTGGAAAGTTTTTTTTTCAGCTTTAGCGCTCACTCA